CTTGTATAACTTTGCCTACCTTTCTGAAGATGATTTCCCTGAGGTGAGCCCGAGGGCAGACACGTGATGACTTTTTATGCACTTTGCCGCATGGCCTTCCGAGGGAGTTGCCCTAAATATCTGCTCCCACAAGGAGGCCTGTCCAAAGCTTGTTGAAGTTCACGTTTGGATAAAGTTCAATAAAGGAGCACTTAGCGACAGCAAGGAGCGCAAGCAGAAAGCACCAAGAGGGAAGAATTTTCTTCAGGAAGGTGTCACATGAAGCTTGATTTTGGGAGAAGGAACAGAAAGTTGAAAACAAGAAACCCTTTTTGATAACCCATCACACAGTATTTTTGGACTAGGTAATGCTGGCCTGGGCAGGACATTCGGAAGGGCGGACCGTGCAGAAGTCTCTTCCCTCCTTCCTCCACCAGACACCTAGTGACCACATTTTTAAAAATGAACCTTTTTTTGTTGTAAAATAAGTAATACATCCAAAAGTGCATACAGATACAAAAAGTGTACCTACAGGCACAGTTTAAAGACAAATACTAAATACGCTCCCACCAGCCAGCTTCTGAGTGGAGCGTCTGCACTCTGCTGGGCTGGAGTGCAGCTCTGGAAGCTGGGTCCCTGGGCACTCAGTGTGTGCTGGGCCCTGTGCCTGTGAAGCCTTGGTTAGTCCTCAGCAGCCTTACATGGGGGTATGAATATCATCCCCACTGTACAGGTGGGGAAACTGAGGCTGGAGGGGTTCAGCAGTCAGACCGCAGACTCAGTTAATGAGTGGCAGATGTGTGATGCCTGGGTTTTCAGTGGCCTTGGACTGTTTCAGTGTTGGTGTCAGTGGGTTAATGATGTCTGCAGGGATGGCGTTTTCGGTTCCGGTCTCCCACTCCACACGCGGACAAGACTGGCCTTTGCTCGAGAGCACTGAGGCGGGTGAGGCCCCGGTGTCGGGGAGGACTTGGCATGAGTCTCCCTCGTCTAGGGCTCCTCTCTGGCCACCTTCATCCCCCCAGTGCATGGGGGATGGGGGACTCCAGGAGGGAGAGGCTTGTTTCCAAGCCCAGAAAGGGTCACCAAGGGGCTGCTGGTGACAATGCTGCCTGCACCGATAGGTGAGGGATGAATGTGGTGTTTACAGAGCGAGGAGGGGAGCAGGTTTGCAACAGTCAGTATTGCCATCACCAGGGCTCTCAGGGCCTGCTGTCTTCTCCTTTCCATCTCTGTGAGCGCAGGTCACCCATCCTCCAAGCCAGGCTCAAATCCCACTCCTCCCTGGGGAAAAAAAAAGACCCATGTAGGGGTCATCCCCATTCTCTCCATCGTGCATACGATGCAGGGCTCTGAAATTCTGGCCTTTGCTGTCTAGGCCTTGCTGGGTGCTCTGCTCGTGGAAGAGGCCCAGCTGACCTGCTAAAGGAAGAGAGGAAGGAGACGCGGTCCTGGGCATCCTGGACTCGGTCCTGGCACGCTCGCCTCTCCCAGGGGCAGGGATCCCAGGGCAAAGCAATGCATCCACTTCCAGATCACCTTTCAGGTCACCGCTGGGGGTGGGAACCTCCATGAGTAGGACATCCAGGAGTTCGCTGCATCCAAGTTAAAGCCTGGTCTAAGTGCTGGTTTCCCCACAGGTTTAGTTCGGATGTTTTAAAATAGTAGCGGGCTATTTCCAATAACTGTTGAAAGGAGCAACAGGTCTCTGGGTGAATTTCTGTTCTTATCAGCCATGGGTTTGAAATCACGTGTGTTGCTTGATCTGCCGGAGAGGTGGGGAGCCAGCCAGAGCCCAGAAGGCCTGGAGAAACACAAAGCCCACTATGGTGCACATGTGACACATAAGTGAGCATATTCCTTAAATTTGTAGAAAACTAGCCCCAAAGATGTGGCCTCTCTCCCCAGGCCAGTAGGGTTCATTCATTCATTCATTTAAAAACTATTTATTAAACACCTATTGTGTGCCAAGTGCTGAGGATTATAGAGGAGTTTCTTAACTTTTGGCAGTTTTTCTAGAATGTGTGAATATAACGTAGGCCCACGTTCTGCTTGAGTAGGCTGGAGTAACATCTCACCAAAACACTGATCCTGCAGTTTTTTCCCCTGAGTGATACAGGAGATGATGTGTGCCCTGGATTGGACCAGAAAAAAAGTGAAAGTGATTTGATTTGTTCAGGTGGTTGGATGAAGTGGGAAGGATATTTTCTTTCCATTTTGACTTCTTTATCATCTTTGTACTTAAAAAAGCTTCATGAACAGAGTGGCTCTCCTGGCCCACCTCCACGAGCCACCATTAAGGAACTGGGGACATTTAACCTTGAAGAGAAGACATGGCCACCTTCAGATACCTGAAGAGCTGTCCTTACTCTTAATTTGGCATTGCTGTAGACCTGTGACTCTCAAAGAGGTCCTGGTGCAAGCTGCCTCAGCGTCACCTGGGAACTTGTTAGAAATGCAGAGTCTCAGCCCCAGCCCAGAACCTGAACCGCCAAGGGGTGGGGCCAGGACTCTGTGTTGGCAACTCAGATTGCATCCCCTGGGAGCCTGTTGGAAATGCAGAGTCTCAGGCCCAACCCCAGACCTACAGAATCGAATATGGAAGCAGTGGTTCTCAAACCTTGGGGGCTTGCCAACACAGAGTCCTGGCCCCACCCCTTGGCGGTTCAGGTTCTGGGCTGGGGCTGAGACTCTGCACGGAGTTTTAATACACCTGCTTTTCAAATGTTCAATATTTTTTAAACAACTAGAACATTCTGGGGAAAAAAATAACCGTTAAAAAAATACATGAGAGGGGCTGGCCCGGTGGCTCAGCAGTTAAGTGGGCACGTTGCACTTCTCGGTGGCCTGGGGTTCGCCGGTTCGGATCCCGAGTGCAGACATGGCGCCGCTTGGCACGCCATGCTGTGGTAGGCGTCCCACATATAAAGTGGAGGAAGATGGGCACAGATGTTAGCTCAGGGCCAGGCTTCCTCAGGAAAAAGAGGAGGATTGGCAGCAAATGTTAGCTCAGGGCTAATCTTCCTCAAAAAGAAAAATACATGAAGGGGCGAGCCTGGTGGTGTAGTGGTTAAGTTTGTGCACTCCACTTCAGTGGCCTTGGGTTCGTGGGTTTGGATCTTGGGCGCAGATCCACCCACCCGCTCATCAAGCCATGCCATGGCAGCATCCCATATATAAAATAGAGGAAGATTGGCAAAGATGTTAGCTCAGGGACAATCTTCCTCACACAAACACACACACAAAATTTTGATAACTTGTTCATCATGGATTTTTTTTGTATTTATTTCCACTTTTAAAATATTATTTTTCTTGATTTGATGAGTTTTTGGCATACCGTTAAATTTTGTGCCTGAGGCTTTGGGGATTCCAGGCGGTGGCCCTCCTGGCCTCTGGGCTCTGAGATGGTCTGACTGTGGTCGCAGCCCCCTCTCTGCTCCACGTACTCCCAACATGATACTCACCCTCTCCCAGGTTTCCAGGCTTCTGTGACACTGATTCCTTCACAGCCAGGATCCCCTCCTTTAGAGCCTAAGGTAGACCTTACTTATATCTCTTTATTGACATTCTGACCTTACACAGTTGAGATGAGTACTGATGGTGGAAATAGGAATCACTGTGCTTTGATAAGGTTGAGCTCCCTGGTACATATGGCACATGTGAACTCTCCATCTAGAACGCCAGCCCCACCAATATCAGTCCAGTTCTAAAGCCAGCACGAAATCTAGTTTGGATATGCACTATATATGCTGATATAACTGTAGCAGATGTCGTCAGTGTCCTGCCCACACCCCCAACCCCTGCCATTGCTGGGTACATCCATCCACATTACACCTGCGCACACCTGCAACCCTGCCTGAGGGTGTCCCTGTCTCACTTCTTCACTGCCCTCCAGGGCTTCCTGGGTCACCTCCCAGATAACTCCTTGTACTGGAATCTTTGTTGCAGGGTCTGTTTCCAGGGAAACCCAAACCAAAATAAAAACATGGTTTACTTTGCCCACTATAAAATCAAAACATAAAGACATACAGGTGGGAAGAATAAAGCTCCTCCTCCCAAAGCCAGGTGGTGTGTTTTGGCTATGTTTGCATCCATTTTTGTTATGTTTGTTCTTGTGGATGTTGTGAACCTTTGTGAGCAGTTTCGTCTCCTGCCTTAATCATTTTCCTCAATTTGAACCTTTGGTGGTGATGATTTTTTCCCCCTATATTCCCTACCTCTCAGCCCCTGGTAACCATTTCTCTACTCTATGTCTGTGAGCTTGACGTTTCCACATGTAAGTGATACCATGCGGTGTTTGTCTTTCTGTGTCTGATTTATTTCACTTAGCACAATGCCCTTGAGGTCCATCTGTATTGTCGTAAATGGAAGGATTTCCTTCTTTCTCGTGGCTGAATAATATTCCATTGTGTATATATCCATATATCACATCTTTTTTATCCATTCATTCGTTGATGGACACGTAGGTTGTTTCCATGTCTTGGCTGTTGTGAAATAATGCTGCAATGAACATGGGAGTGCAAATATCTCTTTGAGATCCTGTTTTCATTTCCTTTGGATATGAAATACATATCCTAGATGTGGGATAGCTGGATCATGTGGTAGTCCCATTTTTAACTTTTTGAGAAACCTCCATACTGGTTTCCATAATGGCTATATCAATTTACATTCCCACCAACAGTGCACAAGTGTTCTCTTTCTCCACTTCCTCTCCAACACTTGTTATCTCTTATCTTTTTGATGATAGTCATTCTAACAGGTGTGACTCATTGCAGTCTCACTGCAGCTGTGACTTGCATTTTCCCGATGATTAGTGGTGTTGAGCACCTTTTCAGAGACCTGTTGGCCATCAGTATGTCTTCTTTGGAAAAATGTCTATCCAGTTCCTCTGCCCGTTTTTGGGTCTGGTGGTTTGTTTTTTGTTATTGGGTTGTGCATGATGATTTTTAATGGCTTCGTAGTTGAGAGGCTCTGGCTTGGCTGTGACCGACTGGTGATGTGTCTGCCCCTCGCCCTTGCAGGCATTCGCCCCTACAAGTGTGATGTCTGCAACAAGGCCTTCACCCAGCGCTGCTCCTTGGAGTCCCACCTGAAGAAAATCCACGGGGTGCAGCAGCAGTACGCCTACAAGCAACGCCGGGACAAGCTGTACGTCTGCGAGGACTGCGGCTACACTGGCCCCACCCAGGAGGACCTGTACCTGCATGTGAACAGTGCCCACCCGGGCAGCGCGTTTCTCAAAAAGACCTCCAAAAAATTGGCGGCCCTTTTGCAAAACAAGCTGACGTCCACACTCCAGGGGAATGCCAACCTGAGCGAGGAGGAGGAGAAGTGAGGAGGGGGTGGGGAGAGACGCCAGCGCTGCCACGTTTACACAGATTTGGGGTTTCGAGGCTATCCCGCCCCACTGGCTCTTTCTAATTACAAGTGTTCTGTTCATCTCTCTGTCCTTTTGGGGCCTCAGCAAGAGGATCTGTTCCAACGTTGTCAGTTATAATAGTGGCGTCAGGCCCCCGTACCCCATGTCCTATTGAACAGTCACAGTTAACGAGTTTGTGGATGGCCGTGATGACCATGGGGGATTTTTTTTAGGGTTTTCACACATGGAGGCAGAGGTGTTCTTAGAGAGACTACCATTTTATGGTGCCTTGAAATAAAAGTACTTCCACTTGAAATGCTGCTCAAGCAAGGAAAATGAATTTTATTTTTCAGAAAGAGTTTATGGGAATTACTTTAATAAATGAAATGTTCTCGTGAAACTTTCCTTATGAAAACAACACAGGAGAGCATTGAGCCATCTACCTCCCTGGTTAGAGCTTATTGTGTGCCTTTCGCCGTCAGGTTATTTGGAGGTTGAGTGTTTGTGTTGGTGGGTGGGTTTGAAGAAGCAGATCTTGAGCGTTAGGAGGAGGACAGATGGCTGATGAAAAGACAGCACTGAACAACCGGCCCCGCAGCTGATGGGCAGGGACACCTGGAGTTGACTCAGCAGGGGACTAGGGAACACTGTGGTCGTTTTTTGTGGCCGTGGGGTGACTGCAGAGATGCCTCTGGCTTTCTGGGCCTGGCACTTGCTGGCAGAAGGCACTTCTCCCTCCCTTGAGGCTGGCACTGGGGCCAACGTGTGGCAAACGCCGGAGCCTGAGCGTGAGGAGCCTGAGCGTGAGGAATGCTCGCCGGCGCAGAGAGCAGTTGCAGGAGGAACAGCAGTGTCAGCAGCATCCTTCAGGCATGTGACTGCCTAGCGCAGTGACCTTTGGCCACCCGCATCTCCTTACCTGGGAGGCCTGGGAGGTTAACAATAAAGCCGACTTGAGACCGAGATAGGGCAAAAGGGAGGCAGCAGGCCATGGGAGAGGGGGTGGTGAGGTGGTTTCCAGGGTCCTTCCATGATGGACCGCGATGGACATGAGGGGCAGCAGATAGGGCCCAGAGCCTTCAGGGAACCACGGTGCCAGGAGAGAGGGTTCCCCTGGTCCCGTGCTGCTCCCTGAACTGAGTGAAGTGCTGACCCTGTACCACACTGTCCCTTCGCTGCCTTCCCCTTGTGTCCTGGGCATTACCTGGGCTGCATGTCTCAGGTTCATTTCCACCTGGAAGATCAAGATAATCTTGCTTTGGGACCGGGCCACTCCTTGGTGTAGGGAAACGTGGATGGTGAGGCCATTTTCTTATTTCCTCCCTCTTCCATCATCCACCCCCCACCTCCACCCCGCCCCGCCTTCTGTCTTCTCTCCCACATTGTGGGCCAGGCATTATGGCAAGATCTGGGCCGTTTAAGTGGCAAATCCTGTAACTTGAGTTAACATTTCTCTCCTCACTCAGCGCTTTTCTTTCAGAAGGAAGGAAACAAACCCTTTTGTTGAGTACCTGTGACATTTGGGGCACTGAGCGAGGCCCCCCTCTCTGCACAGCCGTCTCTGAAACAACCCTCAGAGCATTCCTGGGGAGGAATTCCTGGGACTGCAGAGGCTGGCGGCTGGCGGCAGAGAAAGCAGCCAGGAATCCTAAACCTGCTCACAACCCCCTGTCTCTCTCCCCTCTCTCTTCAAAAAGGAAAGGAAAGACTTTAAGCTCGACTTGGACACACAAGAGGCAGGCGTGAGGCTGGGGCAGGTGTGGGGGTCCTCACCCTTCTGGCTTCTCTGAGTGGCAAGACTGCCTCATCTGAAGCTCTGGGTGCTTGGGCTAAGGCTGCGGCACCACATGGCCTGAGTTATGGTCACATTCGAGCATCAGCAGTGGCGAGAGTTGTACTTGGGACCCACAGTGGGATGTTGTGGCTGCATGGTGCAGCCTCCTGGGACAGAGCCAGCGCTGAGGACCTGGCCCTGGCTCCAGTGGGCTAATTGCTGATGTCTGTTGTGTCTCCTAGCACTTGATACAGAGGAGAGAGAGTCTAGAAGACAGCTGATTTGCTTTCCTCAGTTACTTGGGTAATTCAGACAGAAACAAACATTCCTATAAGAGAATATCTAAATGACTGGCCACGGCAGCTGGCCTGTTGCCTGTTTTGCATTGGGATTTATGAATTCTCTTTAGGGTCAGATTTTTATTAAACTGAACTTTTTTCACTGCAAGTAACAGAAACGCAGTTTAAAATGACTTTAACAGAAGGGGGAATATATTAGCTGAGAAGTCTAGAGCTGTTCCAGCTTCAAGGGTAGCAAGATCTGGGTGCTTAAACCATGTGACATCGCTCATCTTTCTCTCTTTTAACTTGGTTTTCCCCCGAGTGGCTTCTTTCTTAGGAGGCTCAAGTGGAGGCCAGAGGACCACCCTCCACTCTGGACTTCTATCCCACAGTGCAGCAGCCCACCAGGAGCGTTTGTCTTTCAGCCGAGATCTTGGGCTGACGCTTCTTGTCTCTGATTGGCCTGATTTGGCTCTCAAGCCTGCCTCTGAGCCAATCACCGTGCTCTGGGCAGTTCTCTTCCATGCCATCACTCAGGGACCCAGACTTCTTTCCTTTGTTGCTCTGCCATGCCCTACAGCATTGTCAGCAGGTGCATGGTTGAAGTTGGATCTCTATGCGGTTCAGCCTGTAGGAGTGTTGTCTTGGTTTGGGTTCCTCCGGAAGCTGATTGTGAGGCAAGAGTTCAAGTTCAAGTCGATTGCTTAGGAGGTGATCCCAAGAAGCATCTGTAGGGGAGTGGGGAAGTGTGACAGGAAAAAGAAGACAGCTTACAAAGGGAGTATAATCAAGGAGGTTACTGCTGTAGACAACTGGAGCTTAATCCCACCTAGGAGTTCTGGGAGACAGTACAGGCGTGCCTCAGGGTTACCCCACTAGAAGGGATAGGAAACCATTTGTCCACTAACTCCCCACCCATCACTGGTTGAGGGTGCCAGCGTTGGCAGCATTCATTTCTAGGCCTTCCAACTTGCCCTGTGCACTGGCCAAGCAGGCTTCCTGTGCTAGGAGAAGCCCTCAGGTAGAGTTTCAGGGTGGCCATAAGCAGACTTCAGCACATAGAGCCGAATGCTGAGGAACCCTGGGGGGGCACCAGGTCTGGTACAGGTGTGGAAGGGTTACGCCCACTCTCTGAAGCTGCTCGCCTGAATGTGGCATATAGCCCTTCCACCTACATTCTGGGGGGGTGGGGGGCGAATTGGGGACGGGAAAATGCAGCCTTCTCAAACAAAACACTCTTGTATGCCAGAATGGGGGAATAGATTATGGTGGACAACTTGCCGTCTCTGCCATGGCAGGCAAACCCAACGATGTCCACCCCTGCCTCTGACCCCTCCTCCTCCCAGCCCTGTTTGCCTGGCCTGCTCTCAGCCAATCGTCAGGAAATCCAGCTACAGTCCTGGGGGTCATGATTTAGAACACTGGTTCTCAGGCTGGCAGCCCTGGAAACTTAGGTCCACAGATGATGGGAATGGAGATGGATGAGCTATTGTCAGTGTTTTATATCCCTCATCGGAAATCATTTATTAACCTGGACAGAGTCCACCCAGCAGTATCTTTGCTTTTGGCTGGTATTAGGTCAGCACAGTGTGGAAACATGCTCATGCGCATCAGCAGTGCCTACTGATGGTTCATTTTGGAGAAGGAGGTCTGTTATGAATCAGTGTGGTTTATTTGGTTGCTGCCTATGTTGAATTTCTAGAAGCAGAGCCTGAGACAGGGATTCTGGGGTAAGTGATTTATTGAGAGAGGCTCTCAGGAGAAACCAATAAGGAGGTGAGGGAAGCAAGGTACAACAGGAGGAAACCAGGCAAAGATGTGGGTTCAGCTGGAGTCTAGCCTCAGCCTGATGCCAGGAGAAGTGCTAGAGTGTGAATGGCACCATGGATGTTATCCCACCTTGAGGCAAGGGGCCCAGTCATTGGCTGCGGGGTTATCTCTTGGGCGGTGCAGCTGGGGGCTGGTTCACTCAGAGGTTTCCAAGGTGAAGAAAAGAAAAATCACAGGAATGGATACTTGGAGGTGAAAAAGATTGAGGGCCATAGGCTGTGGCTATTTCTCCATGGAATATTTACATTTTGAGAAGGGATCTCTTTTGGAGCTAAAGGAGTGAATCACTTATTGCAAATTATGTGGTGTTTGGGGGAAAACGAAAAAATATATTAAAATGTGTGCATGGAAAAGTCCTCTCTCCAAATCTGTTTCTTGTCTGCCGAGCCCCTCCTCTACCATGCTAGTCAACCACTGTTAGCTTCTTGCGTAACTTTCTTGAGTTTCTTTACTCATATATAAGCAAATATGTATATGTATATTCTTGTTCTCCACTGTTTTCTTTTTTAATTAGCAGATAGCATTATGCGTACTGTTTGGAACCTTGCATTTTTCTTTTAATAATACATCTAGTAGCTCTTTCCATAATAGTACAAAAGAATGTTCTCTTCTTTACAGCTATCTAGCATTGTGTTGTATGGACGTACCATAATTTAGGTCATCCGTCTTCTACTGAGGGACATTTATGTTGTTTCCAATGTTTTGCTACTATGAACAATGCTACAATGAATAACTTTATCCATATGTCATTTCACATATGTGCAAACATATCTGTGAGAGAAATTTACAGAAATGCAATTGTTAGGGCTGAGAGTATACGCACAGTAACGTTGATCAATATGGCCCAACTCCCCGGCACAGAGATGTACCAACTTGCAATTGCACCAGTAGTCTGTCAGATTGCCTCTCTCCTCACCATCCTGCCCACGTTGTAGTGGCCCAGTTTGGGATGTGGGCCAATCTGATAGGGGAGAAATAGTTTCTCAGTGTAGTTTTATTTTACATTTCTCTTATTAGGTGTGAGAGAAAGACGTGGAATGTCTTTTCCCATGATTAAGGGCCCTTGGTAGTTCCTTTTTCTGTGAACTGCCTGAATGCCCATATTTCTACTGGGTTGTTGGCTTTTTTTCCCTGCCCAACTTCTAGGACTTTGTTTGCTTAAATATATCAGGAAGTTTAGCTCTTTGTGATGAAAGCTACTGATTTTCCTCCCAGATTGTCATTTATATTTCAGTTTTGCTCATGCTGGTTTTTCTTGGCCAAGCAGAAGTTTTGTGATTTTTGTGTAGTTTGAATTGATCCATCTTTCTCTTTTATGGCTGCTGGAGATTGAATCGTAGTTAGGAAGGCCTTCCCACTCCAAGATTATATTGGAATTCTGTCATGCTTTTTTCTAGGACTTTAATGGTTTCATTTTATCACGTATAAATCTTTGATCCGT